GATTAAAGTCAGCATTGTTTAATAGATGAGAAGTCATAGGAAGGCTCTTTGCATTTTAGATTAGAATGTGATGGGTTCAAATAAATGAGAGCCACTCTAATGTCTTGATAATTTAGAGAAGTCTTTATTCGGTTACAACCAGATGGCTAGAATCTAAAAGCAAGTCTTTGATTGAAGTCCCAAGTACACATTTCAGTCCATCTTTAAAGGCAAAAACCCATTCATCATTATCTAGGACTTAAGCAAGCGTGGACAGAAACAAAAATCAAAATTAATGTTACTACTCTTTACAGTTAGTGAGCGTAACAGCATACAGCATTGATGATAACAACCAGGTTCCTGATTACAACATTAAAAAGGAACAATATTATTAATTACAATGTTCTGATCTCAAGAACATGAGAATTTATTCTAAAATCAATCACTAGTGGGACTTTGGAGTGGGAAGGAGGCAGGTCATTCAGCAGCTAACAAAAATGGAGTTTCTTTGGCTAGTCTGTCTCAGTCCAGTGGTAAGAGTGTCACTCTGCTCCAGGTGCCTGTCATTCCTCTAGTCTGGGCATCAGGATTCAACCCAAGCCCCACTACTAACCAATCCATTGCAAGTTGTGGTAACCCTATGGGACAGAGTCGAACTCTTCCATAGATTTCCCAAGACTGAACATTTTGTCGGGGCAAGACAGCCTCATTCCTTTCCCCTCCCCACTCCCCTACTGGTGCTGAGCAGTTAGTGGGTCCAAAGCATTTGGTCTTGATTTTGGCTAGCAGCCCAGCGTTCCCCAGTGTGTTACTAGAGACACCTAGTTAAATTTGACTTTCGCATGAACAAAATACTTTTTTGCTTTAATTAAACACCATGCAATACATAACACATACTTCTACCAAATCATTCTCTCAGTATTTGAAATTTCATATTTAACTGAACGTCTAAAATACAATAAATAAAAATGTATTTTTATTTGCTGAACCTGACCACCCTAGTACCTTCTCAGATCACATTTGTTACTCGTAAAAAGAGGACACAATTATATCTTTTTCTTAGAATACTAAGGGCCTCGTGTGGGTGTGTATGTGCTTTATTTATTTTGGTTTAGCTCGTAAAAAATCATTAAGCTTAGTTTCCCCAACAGGGCATATTAGGACAAGTTATATATTAAGCTTCCTGCTCATGGGCTGGAGTGCCCCCAAATTAGGCTGTTTTCTAAAGACCACGCTGCATAAATTCAATCCGATTCTACATAAATTTGCATTCTGTGTTGAGACTTGCGAAAAGGCCTTCAACGTTATAATCTGAGGGTGTTTCAGCAAAGCCACACCAAACAGATTATTCGCCTTGATTGCACAGAATGAAGGCTGGGACGCTGCGCACGCGCACTAACGTTTCTGTGACTTCTCCGCCCTCCCACCTGCCCTCCCTCCCCGCCCCGCCTCCCTCCCG